AGTGTTCCAGGGGTGTACGCTATAGGGGATGTGATACCTGGACCTATGCTTGCTCACAAAGCAGAAGAGGATGGTGTTGCTTGTGTTGAGTTTATTGCAGGAAAGGAGGCTCATGTAGACTATGACATGGTTCCTGGGGTTGTCTACACTCACCCTGAAGTTGCTTCGGTAGGGAAGACGGAAGAGCAGGTTAAGGCCACAGGTGTAGCTTACCGTGTTGGAAAGTTTCCCTTTATGGCAAACAGTCGAGCAAAGGCGATTGATGATGCTGAGGGTATTGTGAAGATTTTGGCTGAGAAAGAGACAGATAAAATTTTGGGTGTGCATATTATGTCACCGAATGCTGGCGAGCTGATTCATGAGGCAGTTCTTGCGTTGCAGTATGGAGCATCAAGTGAGGATATTGCACGCACATGCCATGCTCACCCGACAATGAGTGAGGCGGTGAAGGAGGCTGCCATGGCTGTCTACGACAAGCCTAGCCATGCTCACCCGACAATGAGTGAGGCGGTGAAGGAGGCTGCCATGGCTGTCTACGACAAGCCTATTCATATCTAGAGGAGGAACTCTCAGTCTATTTTTTACTTGATATGTTTTGTTGAATTTGTGAAATAAGTACAGTAGTTGAAAATATTTATCTTTCTTCTACATTGTTGCTAAAAATTGTGGATTGAGGTTATATTCAAAGATTTCTTCAAGTTGTCTCAATGCTTAGTGTATGGATGCTTAATTGAAAGTTCATGTATGGTGTTATACTGACCTTGCTGCTTGAGCATCAGCTTTGGCCTACAATTTTTTGCTTCATGGATTTAGTTCAGCACATAATGTGCAGCTTTGTATCATTTTTCACTTTCTGATTTTTGTAAGGTGATGGGACTATTCAATAATCACTGCCTATAAACATTCAGTGGAAATTACATCTATGTAGTCATCTGAGATATTCTGCCCTTGATAAATCAAGAGAATAAATCATCATGGGACAATTCACAGGAAAGACACATCACATTATAATTATACTAGAACTCAGTAGTAAGTAAATAAAAATTGGTTGAACAAATTCCATGTTGTTTGTTTACAAGAAATCAATGAGCTCATAAATTATTTCCAGTGAAAATGACAATCATGGTCCTGTCGCAATAATATAAGCAACATTTTCATCTGGGTTCTTTATCAGCTGCGAGGAGCACCTTTCTTATAGTTCTTAGCAAACATCGCAAATTTCTCCAAACCACGATACAGTAATCCTTCAGTAAAGGGTTTCAGTGCCTGCAGAAACAAAGAGGTTGTTGATGAATGCAGTATGAGCTTGTATTTTTTGCTATATGGGCTCTATGGTACTTACGGTTGCCACTGGAGTGAGAATCTCAGGAACTTCATATGAAGTAGTTAACTGCATTAAAGAGAGAGCAAAGGTAATTACATTCTAACTAGGTTTTTAAGAAGGAATAGAGCAAAAGCATCATATTTATGGTGTATTACTCACTTCTACTCTGCATGAGGATGGACCTTTGGGAAAAAATCGAACAGCACCTCTGCAAGGAGGGAGAATGAAAGAGTTATCAATGCTAATGTAGTATCAACGAACATAAAAAGGATAGGCAATTGAATTTAGAATCCCTTGTTATCGATCAATATTTTTTTCTTCTCGTTATCTTCAGCATCATATCAAGGTATAGAGAAAATGTACGCATAAAGGGAAAGTTTAAAATACAGGAGGGCACTATTTTGCAACTTGTGTCCGCAAAATTTCAGTTGTTTTAGATAGTAACAGATATATGTTAAGAAACATGGTGAAGCCCACTTCACAGTAAAGTAAATTAATTTGATGACAGAGTTATTGAAAAAAAAAACTTTTCAAAATAAAGACAGGTTGAATCCACCTGACGCATTAAGAGGTCTAATAAGGGTTAGGTCCTTCCCCGGACCAGGATAAGATGTAGAATTTAACAAAAGAAACAAAATGGAAGTTTTAAGAATGCGGAGATAAATGTTCAGTGGGTTACTTATTAGGAAGACCTTCCAACGATCGCCAATGGATTTTCTGATTTCGGATTGGCTGCAAAAACAGACAGTTCATTAACAAGATCAGTCACAACATTGCTCTGAATTAGTTTAATCATTTCTGAGCTTTTTAAGGAACAAGAATGTTTTGTGGTTATCACCTGCATGTTTCGAGCGAGCCAAGAAAATTCAATATTACGACCAAATGCCTCGTACTTTAGTGACCACCTTGACAGGCTGCGATTATCTTCTAAGACCTGTTAAATAATATACACTATATGTTACCTGAGTACTTCTATTAGGAAGCTGTATCATACCGAGCATGTAGGCGTACCCGTACCCAAACCTCTTGACCACTTCTTGAATATGGGCACATGTTTATTCGGACCCATACTCAATTATACTATGCATAGTTTAATATAAAACTCTCCTTGGATGTATATTCTACACTTCACATCTATTTCTTATATATTGATCTTATTTAAATAAAAAAACAGTATTGATCTTATGTATATTATTAATTTTAATATATATATATATATATATATATATATATATA